CCGTTTAGAAACAAAGAAAAAGTAGTACTAACTTAAATTAAAATAAGAAAAATAATACTATATAATATATATATATATATATATATAAGCTAAATCCAAAAGAATATCCCCCTTAAACTATAAAACATTGCATTTAGATTGAATTTGACTTGAATTTAGAGTTCATTTCATTTGCCCCCCAAGAAATTTGCAAAGTGCACCTAACCCCAGTCAGATTCTAACCCTACATCTGACTCACCTTTGGTTTTATTTAAACTGAAGAGAAAGTGTTAAGCAAAGGCCCAACTGGTTTTTTCTCATCTCTATTTTCATTTCTCTCCCAAAAATTTATTCTTCTACCAAAAAAAAAAAAAAATTGAATGGGGTGTTCCAAGATTTGATTTTTAGGTTAATGATGTAAAAAATAGAAAAAAAATAGTATCAAATTTACCCTTTCTTTAAGCTATCAGTTTCTTCATTCTATAAGATTTTCTTGATTTTTGCCTTGCAATTCTTGATGGGTTGTTGTGAGGTGGAGGAAATATCTAAAAAGGAGAAAAATGGATGTTTGGTTAGTAGAGAAGAAAAGGGGTTGCACAAAATCAAATCTTTCACTCAAAACTTTGCCATTTTGGTTGGTTTTAGTAGTGAAAGTATCTCTTTTCATGTCTTCTTCTTATAAGTGACCAAAAAAAAAAAGGACAAGAACACTAAATTTAACTCCTTTTTTATTTGCAGCTCTGTTTCTCAGTAAATATAAACTTAAAAAAGTGAACTTTGATCCCAAAACAAACATTGAACTTTATTATAGATTGGAAAATTTGGATCATCAAAATCATAATTATGAAAAGACTTGGTAGCTCTGATTCTTTGGGTGCTTTGATGTCCATGTGTCCAAGTACTACAGGTACTTGTTAATATGCCTAAGTGAAACTATACTATGATTATAGTTTTGATCACTTTTTTTCTCTTAAAATTTATTTATATTCCCATTTCATGTTCTCTGTCGTTATAACCTTTTCCCATGCTCCAATCCCTAGTTTTTAGGTATAATGAAAAAACTAATGGGGAATATTGAAAAAATGGTTTTTTTAATTGAATCAAGAAGAGTGTATTTTTTTTTCCTGTTTTAGTAAGTTTTTGTGCTTGACTCTTTATACCATTGTTTGTTCTTCTATTTACATATTTAGCTTTCTTCAAGGCAATTATGTGGTCTATTTATTTCATTATGTTTGGTTATAAGTTTCAAAGTTGAAATTTGAAAATTTGATCTTTTTTTTTAAAGTTGTGCTGGTCTCAAGAGCCCCAAACTTAGGCCACTTATGATGTTTGGAATCGAATTTCACTGTCAAACATATACTCGAAGATAAATTTTTAAAATCTATGGTCATATATGCTAACTAATCATGTTTATATATCTTAGTATGAGCTAGTTTTGAGTCAAACAGATATTTGAAGATAAATTTTCGTCCTGTGTATTCTCATGTTCTTGAATTTTGATGTTTGTTTAGATGACCAGAACCATGGGAACAGCCATGTGTATTCAACAAGAGACTTTCAGTCTATGTTAGAGTTAGGCTTAGATGAAGAAGGATGTGTGGAAGAATCTGGCCAGAAGAAAAGGAGACTAAGTGTTGAACAAGTGAAAGCTTTGGAGAAGAATTTTGAAGTTGAGAACAAACTTGAACCTGAAAGGAAAGTGAAATTGGCTCAAGAACTTGGGCTGCAGCCTAGACAAGTAGCTGTTTGGTTCCAAAACCGACGTGCTCGATGGAAAACAAAGCAACTTGAGAGAGATTACAATGTTCTTAAAGCCAATTTTGATTCACTCAAACACAACTATGAATCTCTCAAACATGACAATGAAGCTCTTGCCAAAGAGGTACTAATTTAATGAAGGCTTGTGTGGTTGTTAGTCCTGTTATAGCATTTGAGTTGCGACTATGGATTAGGGGAAGGAAGGGTCTAAAGTTTTGAACTTTATAGGTTCCCAGTTCGAGGATCTATCAGAAACAGTCTTTTAGATGTATACACTAGCCTTCCCAAACCTCACGTGTGGGATTTTATTGAGGTGGTTGTAGTTGTTATTTGTATTCGAAATTCTACCATAAGTCATTTGATTTACACCATCGAGTGACCTATGATACGACTACGGTTTAAAGGAGGGTCCATCATTTAAGCTTTATGTGTCTAGTTCTAGGTACTAACCATAACTCATTTGATTTACACTATCAAGTGACTTTTGATATGACTACAGATTAGAGGAGAGTCCAAAATTTGAACTTTTTGGGTTCTAGTTTGAGATTCTACTATAACTCTGACCTATGATACAACTGCAGATTAGAGAATGGTCCAAAGTTTGAACTTTATGGGTTCTAGTTCGAGGTTCTACCACAACTCATTTAGTTTATTGAGTCCAAAATCAATTGATGCTTGCTTAGTAACCCTCTAATCAGCCCCTTGGTACAGATAACTCTGTGTCAAGGTGTAAACGAATCTACGGTCGGAGATTAAACTATGATTAGTGTAAAGAACCTTCACATTTAGATATTTGTAATAACATTTAAAGTTTGTGTCGAAAACAACCTCTCTGTCTTCAAACTCCACTTATGAGTGTTTAAAGTTTGAATCTTTTGTATAGAAAACAACCTCTCTGTCCAAAACTCCACTTATGGGATTATATTGAGTACGTTGTTGTTTAAAGTTTGAATCTTTACTGATATTATGTCATTTGATAGATTCGTGAGCTGAAATTTAAGGTATATGGTGGTGAGAATGGAGAAAGCAGAGGAGCTGTTGTTGTTTCAGTGAAAGAAGAAGCTATGGAATCTGACAATGATGACAAAATGATTGAACAAAACAACCCAAATGATCTTCTTGAAGAAGATGATGAAGATCAAGATGATGATGTCGAGATCAACGCCACTATAGCATCCACCATTTTTGCTGATTTTAACAAAGATGGTTCCTCAGATAGTGACAATTCAAGTGCAATCTTGAATGAAGATAACAGTCCAAATGCTGCTGCAATTTCATCATCTGGTGCATTCTTGATCTCTAATGATGGTGGGGTTGGTTGTTCATCTCCGAATTCGTTGAATTTCACCTTCAAGTTCACAGAATCAAGTCCAAAATCAATTCTTGGAGATTCCCAAAAGGCTAATTGTTTTACTTATCAACCTCCGTCAACAACAACAACAACACAGTATGTGAAGATGGAGGAACATAATTTCTTCAATGGCGAAGAATCTTGCAGCACTCTTTTCTCAGATGAACAAGCTCCTACACTTCAATGGTACTGTTCTGAAGATTGGAACTTTAAAGACTCAAAATCATCTTTTTTTGATCATGAATAAAGGAGGTTATTGTCTCATGGGAACCAAATTTTGTATAGTGGTTTAAGAAATGGCCTAATGGGAACAAAGTGAAAAGATGATGTTTTTGGATTTTTCTCAAGGGGGGTGGGGTTTGGTGGGGGTGGTGGGGGTGGGGGTGGGGTGAAGGGGGGGTGGTTGAAGGGGGTGGTAGGGGGAGATGAAGAAGAATTCAAGAAAATGGTTATGGAGAGAAAAGGAGCTTCCTTTGTAATGGCAAATAAAAGTGGCTAAAAGTATAAATAACCATGCCTTCTATATTTTGAATGATTTTATAATCCTTTTTTCCATGATGAAGGGAAAATGAAAATGGTAATTCATTATTAATAATTATGCTTTTAAAATTATTTGATATGAAAAATTATAATCCACACATTCAGATTTATGTGATCATTTCAAGTTTTAAACAAATCTATTTTTGACTGTTAATCTTTTATACATCTTTCAGAAATTTCAAATTATCATTTATTACGATTAATAATATTTTTTACGTAAGTTATAAATATATAAAATTTTATTTTAAAAATTATGAAAATACTATGATTAACTTTTTATTAAATTTATACAATTTTGATTTTTTAAAAATAAAATGTATCACATAATTTGAGAAAGAAATTTTTCTCCGTTCTTATAGTCTTAAAGAGAATGTGTTGCTTCTCATTTTAAAAGCCACAAATGGAAATTTTATTTTAAAAGACGAGTTTCAAAAGTTTTATGATTTAATAATTTATTTAAAAAAATTTTGTGTTATCTTTTAAGTATTTAATTTTATCCCCGATAGATAAATAATATACTTTAATTTAGCATTAACAGTGGTTAAATTAATCTTATTTTTGCATATATTTAGTAATTATCAGAATTTTGATTACAAATACTAATGAATTTTCACAATTTATTTAATATTTATGGTATATTTTGAGGTTGTACATAATTTATAAAAGACTATAATAGCAATTAAAATATCTTCAAAGATTTGAAACAAAAAAATGAATCGACACGCCACCTTACAAAATTAGGTGAACATATTTAATTTTCAATAATTCAAACCACATTGAAATAAATAATTTTAAATTGTATTACACCTTGTTATAAGATAAACTTTTTTGATACTACTAAGCTATTTGTATTTTTCTATAAAAAAAATAACTTATATTATTTTAACAATATCAAAAATAACTCGAGAATTGAGAATCGTTCAAGTCATACTAAGAAGTTCATTCATCTCTTAAAAGATCGATGTGATACTCTTCACTAAATAGTATGCGAACTTACTACATTAGCGATGCCTGTGACTTAAATTCAGAACGAACCTATTTTCGTAGATTCTTTCTAATTGTATTATAGTTCATTATTTAATTTAAATTTACATCGTATAAAATCTATTTAAATGAAAAATAATCTTTTTTTATTTTCTATTTCATTCAAAATCTCTAATTTAATTTAATAATAAATTAATCTTATCTATTTCACTACATTCTCGGCTTTTTATAAAAAAAATATATAATAAAAATTTATTTGCTTAGCTAAATAAAACCTGGCTAGATAAAAGCCTTTTATTTTCAGATCTGACCTGCCACTATGCTTGTGTGTGAACATTTATATAAACTTATGTATTGTGTCTTTCATTGAAAAAGACAATTTTTTTAAATATTTTCTTTTGAGTTTAGGTGTACTTCTTTAATATATCCATATTTAACAAATCTTGAAAATAATATAATATGTTAGAATAAAAATATATACTTAGTTAATGTGTACAACTAAATTGATATTGTTAAAAATTAAACATGTTCAATAAAGAGATAATTGTATATAATAGCAAACTAATGACCTAAAATAAATAGAGTAGTTATGGTTTGATTTAATTGTGCTCCACAGCAAACGTTAGCCAAAGTTTGCCAATCTCCTCTCTCACAAAAATCTCACTCGCCACTCTCCCATTTTCGCTTGCCACTCTCCCTCTGTTTGCCTCTCTCGTTTTATACACAGAAGTGTTTAAATTGTGTTTCTGTTTTGTATAAAGCGAGAGAAAATTGTATATACACATGCAAAAACATATATCTTCGTGCTATACACTTAATTATACAATTCATAAACATTTTACTTTAATTCAATTGTAGACAAATACAAATTTTATACAAATACTGCAGCGAAAAAGGCCAACAAATTATATAATTGCGAATTATACAATTGCAGTGAAATACAATTTTCTCTCGCTTTATACAACATAAGTGTATATATTGTGTTTCTGTTTTTGTATAAAGCGAGAGAAAAACATATATCTTCTTCCTATACACTTATAATTCTGTAATATACATACATTTTACTTCGATTCAATTATATACAAAGCAAATTTTATGCAGATATTGCATCGAAATAGGCAGCGAATTATACAATTGCGCATTATACAATTGCAGTGAAATAGGATACCGAATTATACAATTGCAGCGAAATAGGTCAGCATTATACAATTTAGGCCAACGAATTATACAATTATATTTGTATAGCAAATTATACAGTTTTATATTTGCTATGGAGCACAATTATACAAACTTTACTATAACATACAAATATAAATTTTTTATTTGCTATATATGAAAGTTGCCGTTTAATAAATTATCAAAATTATTGGTGAGGGTAAGTTTTTACCCACTTTATCTTATATTTTGAGTTAGAAGGCTCTTCCTTTATTTATCGAGTTAAATAATTTGTTATTAAAAATTTATTTGTTTATATTATATCATGTTTTTCTTTTAAATATTTAAATATTTGATTGTAAAAAAAAAACGTTCAATCATTTAATCGTAAAAAAAAGGTTTAACTTTTTTGTTTTTTCAAATACCATAAAAAAAACTAATTGAATTTGTTAGGCTAAGGCTGCCTAAAAAGATTTTTTTTCCAGCCTTTTTATTTTTAATATTTCAAAAAGAAGAACAAAAGGAAAAGACAAAACATTATGTTAAAAAAAAAAAAAGACAATATGGAAAGAAGTGCCACATGATTGAAATTTTTATAAATATGAGTTCCTTTTTTTAGAGCCGTAGCTTTTTGCATTTTCATTTCATTGGTAACTTTTATGTGTTTTTATTAAAGTTAGCACTTTTTTTCCGATTTACGGGCTATTTTGATGTCCGACTAATTTAAATTTTACAAAAATAAAAATAATATAGAATAGTAAAATAATTTTAACACAACAAATAATATATAATGATAAAATTAAAAGTGAGATACTATAAGAATACAATAGACACTTCAAAAAGCGAAACACCATTTTATATCTATTAATTTTTTTTTATCGTAATACACCATCTTCATATTTTTTTTTAATCTAATATCATGTTTTCAGTAATCTCAATTTGTGTCATGTATTGTTTAACCACCACTCCACATTGCTTTTTAAGCTTATCTCTACGCTCTTTCTCACGTAGACATTTGTACATCTTTTTTTCACATGTCCAAACTATATCAATCTATCTACCCTCGTCTTGTCTACACTTAGGTCCTAGTGTGATTACACGTCCATTTCAATATCCTCAATTTCAGAACTTGTATCTTTTAGACATGAAAATTTTTTACTGACCAACATTCCGCCTCATACAACAATAGTTATCTTACCAACAGTCTATTTACGTGATACCTTCTTATCACACAAGATCACCAAAGTCATTAATCTTATTTACACCTCAGAATTTAGTCCAAAAAAATATCATTATCCACGCCTCAATAAGAAAATTTAAAAATTCTATCTCAATCGATGTGGTACATTTCTTCTCAACAAAATTTCATTATATACCAATAAAACTCATTCCATTTTACATCAAGTATCTAAAATACTTTCCCTTAGACGATATCAGATTAGTCAAGACTTCAAAACAAATATTATATTTTTTTTTTTAAAAAAAAGGCATTGCGTGTGTGTTGCACATAGTCCAATAATATGTACTACACCATAAAAGCAAATAGTCTTTTTCTTACTCATATTTTTCCCTGCAAAAACTCACATGCCCATCAACTGTGAACACCTGCACAATACACACTTGTGACTTTGTGTGTTTTTCTTGTAAGTATATGACTTTTTTTAATTAATAAACAATGTGCCTAGGAGTTAGGTAAAACCAAATCTAGCCTTGTGACTTTTACTGAAACACTGAAATTAACAAGCTAGACCTACCTACATAGATATATATATATATATATATATATATATATATATTCTT